CACCACATGCTCCCTTTCCCTCAGCAGCCGGTTGTTCTCCTCTTTGAGCTTCTCCAGCTCCATCTCCAGTTCCTGAAGCCGGGAGTCCTCTTGCTGGGACCTCAGCCGGTTGTTCTCCTCCTCCATGCGGCTCAGGCACTTCTCCAGCTCCATGTACTCCCGGATCAGCTCCTGCTTGCTCATGTCCTGCAAGCTCTCTACGTGGTACTTCTCGTAGGTCTCGGAAAAGTCCTTTTGTAGGAAGTGTGTGCCGTCGTCGCTGCCCATGCCGTCGCTGCCCGTGCCGTCTTCCTCCTCCTCAATGTCCTCCTCCGTGCTGTCCCCTTTGCTGAAGGAGTTGAAGTGGAGGGACGGCAAGGCGGGCGCTCTCTTCGGTGGCGGGCACAGGTCGGGCTCCTCTAGGTCGTGGTCCTCCATCAGGAACTGGGTGGTGTTGTAGGGGGCCACCGGCTGGCCCTTGGCAAACATCTCAGCCCGCATTCTGGACGCCCGCTGCGACTCCCTCTCCTCCAGGAGCTTTTTCTCCTCCCAGGTCAGCTTGTTATATGGCTTCCAGGGCCTCTTCTTTTTCGAGGGTCGCCGGCGGTGCCTCTTTCTGCCCAGCTCCTTCCAGGGCTCCTCCTGCTGGTTCCCCGGATTGTGGCAGTCACCCACCTTGCTGTCCTCCTCCGGCTCTGGGCAGGACTGGGCCGAGGAGTTCCTCCTCCTCCTCGGGCACTCCTCTCTCTCCTCCTCCGGTTGCCACCCACTCTCCTCTTGGCTGCCCAGCAGGGTTTCCCCACCTGCCAAACTTTTGCAGGGCAGGCTTGGCTCCTGAACTCCCACTTCTGCCATGGCAGCCATGCCCCTCTCCACTTGGAAATGGAACAGTCTCTCTCTTGTGGTTGCAAGCTTTGCACTGTCCGTGAGAGGTCGATGCCCACAGGGTGGCACGGAGATGTCACTTGGCTTGCCGCGTTTGGCCACCTCGCATGTCAGTGTGGACTCACTTCAGCACTGCCCCCAGCGGGCGGCTGCTGACTCTACACACACGGCCGAGCCCCCGCCTACTCCTCCTCCCCGTTAGCTCTCTCAGCTACTCCACGACCTACACACTCGCCAACCAACCTCCAACTGCCTCTGCCCTGCCGGGGACGCCGCCTTTTATAAAGAAACCGGCCCCCTTCCACCGGCGCAGGCGCCCTCCGCTCCGCGCACAGGGACCCTGGGAGTCGTAGTCCGCCCCCTTGCCATCGGCCAAGGGCCCAGCGTAGATTTGACTACCACTCCCACAAACCCTGGAACGTCACGGGCGCTGAAGCCAATCAACGCCAGCCGCTTCGGAGCGGCCTCCTTCGCCTTCCCATTGGCTAGAAGAGTAGCGGGCTGTTGCTAAGCTAAAGCTGCGGCGACATTGGTTTGCCCACATGTCCGTTTACGACACAAGCGCCAATAGAGACACGTGGGTTGTACCACTCGCACGCTCCAGGGGGTGATGTAGCGTAATATCTGTAAATTGCGGTCGGTTTTCTGAATGAGCAGTGCGTTACATGAAGCCGACTCGTTTACACACGTTACGGTTTCGTTAAACTGAAAATAATAAGCGGTGTTCACGTTCTGTTACGCCCTCTAGATTTTATATCCCCCTCATCAGACTGACCCAAGCAGCTAGAGACAAAAGTAGTTCCTATTAATATCTGCCTGTTCGGACAGTTGGTGGCGATTCGTTTTTTTACAATGCTCTTCGCCGATAGAAAAGGAAACTGTTCCCGTTATTAGTAATGCTAGAGGAACGCGCAATTCCTTCGGAGTAACGGGGGGCGGAGGGACACACTATCGAAAGGGCCATTAAATGTAGGAATCACTCCGTGCGGGCTCTAGTAAACACAGGCCGAAAAAAGTTCCGGCTTAAAGCGGAAATGACAACGTTCAGTACAGGAGGAAGTGTGTCTAGGCCTGCACATGGTCAATGATCGTTGCTGGATCGTTACATTCACTTATCAATATTTAATAATAAACATACACGAACGTAATATTACATAAAGATAAACTGAACTCCCATCTAAAGATCCACACACATGAAAACAAAACGTGTTTAATATCCTATGATTACATTGCTTTCTAAAGCAGCCCCAGTAGATTCCCTGGTAGTATACTGTTGAGAAGGCCCTTTGTTCTGTGTGTGGAAGCAGTGGTCTATCTGCAGATGTCTGCCATGCCCTGAATGAATCAGAGTATGTAGTTCATTCAAAATGGAGCATGAGATTTGCTGATTACAAAGTCTGACTCAGCAGGGGGCACCGTGAACCTCTGCAGAGAGACCAGTGCTTCCACACAGGAACAAGGGTCCTTCTCTGGTGCATGCTGGCAGGGTACAGGCTTTTCTACACAGACTGTTTTAGAAAGACAAAATTAACCGTAAACTGCTCTTATTTAGCTGATTTAATTGGACTTTAAACTGATTGTCATCAGATGGTGGTTGGGAATACTTAATCCAGATGCAAAAAGAACTTGCATATTTGTACTGCAGAACATGCATGGTGTGGTAAGCAGGCCAATCCATCTGTCTGTGTCCCCGTGGAGAGATTTACGGTCACTTCCTGTCGTGATGGTTGAAGTGAAATGTCCCCAATAGGCACACACACAATTAAAAAAAACAGACAGAGGCTCTAATCCTACACTGCTCAATCCTAAACAAAGTAAGTGTTGGTTGGAGAAAAAAAATGGTTTCCCTTCACTTCCTGTCCCAGAGAATCAGCAGGAAGTAAGATGAGATCTCTCCAAAGCAAGGGAACATCTCATTTTAGACGTTCCCTATGACAAAATTGGCCTCACCCCCTGTTACCATGACAACTCTGACATTTTAAGATTTCCATAACTTCCTGTACTGAAGGCAGAGGTCATCAAACACAGAAATCTCCTCAGATGGACACAGACTAATAAAAACTGGACAGGGGATCAAACCCTTCCACACATTACAATCCCACTGAACAATGGCCTCTGGATCAACCGACTACCCCCGAAACTCAAAAGAACAGCGCACACACTACAGAAGAGCGTCTGCACCACCGTATGCCAAATGACGGCGCGTGTGACCAATTCACATACGTGTTAGAAACATGTATGTAAATCTGGTCAAAAAAAAAACACGCCAGAATGTGCCAAAGTAACCATTGACGCAGTGTGCGCGCCAGCATCCTAGCAACCAAAGACGTGTGGCTGATGGGGTCCTGGCAACCAAAAATGTGTGGCCGACAATGTCCTAGCAACCACAGATGCTGTGCATCCACCGGCATCCTAGTAACCAATGATGCTGTGCGGCCGCCGGCATCCACTGACACTGTGTGCGGCCGCCGGCATTCATGCATCCACTGACACTGTGCGGCTACCGGCGTCCCAGCAACCAACGACGCCGTGCAGCTACCGGCATCCCAGCAACACGTCCCAGCAACCAACAAAGTTGTGCGGCCACCGGCATCCCAGCAACCAACGACGTTGTGCGGCCACCGGCATCCCAGCAACCAACGACGCTCAGAGACCGCCGACATCCCAGCAACCAACGACGCTCACAGGCCGCCAACATCTAGCAAGCAGTGACGCTTAGCCATGCAGTGTCTATAGTTACTAGGATGGCAGTGGCCCCGCTGCACAGAATCCTTGGTTGCTAGGTTGTCAGCAAGAGGGAGGGGGGACAACACAGAGGGACCAATCTTTCGCCTACATGAAAGAGGTCCAATTTGCCCAAATGGTGGCATTTCTTTATGAACTTGTTGCAGTCATAACGCAGAAGCGTTGCTAATAAATACTGGGATTTGTCACATGTATTGGTCATATCATTCAAACTGTTGTGCATCTTTTATGAATTTGGCGCAGGGCTTCCCAAGATGGCCCCAACTCCAGAAAAGTGTTGTTAAATTGGATTGCCCTGTGTATAAGGTAAGAGGCTGCTTGGCCAGATATCATTTGATCAGATTGTTAAAAGGTTTCTAAACCCTCCGTTTTTTTGCCTATATCTATTGCTAACAAGCAGTAGATATAGGCAAACAGTTTTTTTTTAAAACCCGCTTTAAGAGCGGTTTAAACTTATCTTATTTTCGCTGCGCGCTCCCGCAAAGCATCTTGGGGTGGGCGCATGCGCAGTTTGGATTCTCGGCCGGGAGACGAGCAGAGATGCAAGGTAAGTCTATGGACGCGTGCACCCTCATGCAGACACCGTGGGATCAGAAGTGCCTGCAAGCAGAGAGGAGTCAGCGCTGGATCGGAGAGCCGCCGCACCGCTGGACAGAAGGCTGAAAACATCAGGAATCATTAACATTGGGGGGAGGGAATTTTTTTGTATCCTTTAATGTCACTTTAAAGGTAGGTAGGGCAGGGGTGGGCAAGCCCAGCACTCCAGATGTTGTGGAACGACAAGTGCCATGAGGCGTTGCTAGACTGATAGCCACCGGCATGGCACCCACAGGAGTTTCACCACAGCTGGAGTGCAAAGGTTGCCTACCACCGAGGTTGGGTCTCAGTTTACAATCCACTTGTGCCATGGGACAGAGATGATGAAATAAAACAGGATTGTCTGGAGATCCCCGGTCGTTTTATCCCCAGTAGCCCTGTGTGAAGGAAACAAGGACAAGATTTCCTTCCACCTAGATGAGGCGGATTGGACGGCCTATTTGTAGGAAGCTCATGAATAACAGCCAGAGGACATAACTGCCAGAAGCCAGGCCGTCCTCTACAAAACAAGGAATGTGACTCTTACTGGCCATTATGTGCAAACTGACTGTCAACATGGATTGTTCCTATGCACATGTCAAATCTCTTACAGTTCATAAGGAGATTCACTCAGCCAAGGAAATACGGCAATCAGTACGCAGGATCTAACTGGTAGGAGCTGGTGTAAAAAGTGCTGTGTGTGTTGTACCTGCAATGTTTGTGCAACATTTACATGCAAAACAGTATAGCGCAAAGATGTCATATGGGTTGCTAGGACGCTAGACAATAAGGAGCTGCCTGTATACTAGCAAAATGGGGCACTAGGCATCTCAAGCCGCCTGTATCCTAGCAACACGGGCAGGGCCGGCCTTAAGGCCGTGACACACTGCACGCGACGCAGCGCGGAGCGGTGGCGCGCTGCCTTTGCGAGCAGTGTGTCATGTCACTTTCTTCTCGGCACCTCAGCTTGCGAGAGCTCGCAGAGCTGAGCGTGCCGAGATGAACAATTTCAACTTCAGCCAATCGGCTCGCGCGTATAAACCGGCGCGACGGGATGCGACGTCTGGCCGGTTGTTACAGACGAGCCGATTGGCTGAAGGTGCAGTCAATCATCTGACTGCACTCAGCTCACACACTGCATGCGAAGCTCCGTGCCGGATAGCTTTGCTTCGCTCAGCGACGGGATGAGACGTCTGGCCGGTTGTTACAGACGAGCCGATTGGCTGAAGGTGCAGTCAATCATCTGACTGCACTCAGCTCACACACTGCATGCGAAGCTCCGTGCCGGATAGCTTTGCTTCGCTCTGCACTGCTTCGCGTGCAGTGTGTCACGGCCTTTAGGGGTGTGCGAGCTGTGCGGCCGCACAGGGCGCCATGGCAACAAAATCGCCAGACGGCCGACACAGCTCATCCTCGGGGTGGCTTCTCTCCTCCTCACCGAGATGACAGCGCTCCCTCGTCCGCCGGGGGTGCAGGAGGGAGCGGTGCCTGATGTCAGTATGGCCGAGCGGTGAGGGGGAGAGCAGCCGCGCCCGCAGCTGTCAGGATGGCCGAGCGGGGAGGAGATCGGAGCCGCTGTCATCCTGTCAGTTTCAGGATGACAGCGGCTCTGTGACGAGGGAGCGTGGAGCCAGCCTCCCGGCCAATCAGATAGCAGGGTGTTGCGGCATTACACGGCGCCCTGCTTCCTGATTGGCCGGCCAGACGGCTCCGGCTGGGTACCGGAGGAAGGCCGTGTTCTTGCTGGAGAGGCCCCGGGGGTGACAGG